CCTCCTCCTCCTCCTCCTCCTCCTCCTCCTCCTCCTCCTCCTCCTCCCATAGTGTTCAAATTCAGTCAATCCAGAAGAGCAAAGTAGTCTCTTTTACTTTAAGGTAGAACGTTCAGGCATTTTAGTAATTTTCTATGTATTACCTAGGTAATTCTCATTTTTCAGTGAAAATAACCTTTTTTTTTTAAGAATAGGCTAGAATGATTTTTCCCCATGTTGCAGGGAAAAGACTGAGGCTGAGAAAAAGTGAGATAGATTGTCTATTTTTAAAAAAAACATAATTAGAGGGGAAGGTTAAAACTCCATTTCTTAGCTGCTATCTACCAGACCCATTTTAATGTTAGAACAGGTATTAAGTCCCTTTCCCAATTGTTGCTTGGACACGACAAGCAATTGTTTAATATCAGTAAGCAAGGCCAGGATCCAAATTTGGATGAGAAACACCCCTTTGTCATCCCTGTCTCATATATATCCCTACACACTTCCCTGTGTAAGAGGAAAAGGAGGTCCCTTTTTGTCAGAAACAAACCACAGTTTGCCTATGGTGGCTAAAAGAGACACACTCGCTTACCTGGTCATGCTAAAACAGTGGAACTTCTCTGTTCAGTGATTGTTTCTCATTGAGCTTTGAACCACAAAGGCAATATTGGCTCCAGATTTGAAGGGGTGTTAGGCCTGGGTCCATCTCTTCCTTTATTTTGACACCAGCAATTTTTAACAGAATAACAGAGTTGGAAGGGACTTGGAAGTCTTCTAGTCCAATCCCTGCTCAGGCAAGAAACCCTATATTATTTCAGACAAATGGTTGTCCAATCTCTTCTTAAAAACTTCCAGTGATGGAGTACCCAAAACTTCTGAAGGCAAGACATTCCACTGGTTATTTTTCTCACAGTTAGGAAATTTATCCTTAGTTCTAAGTTGCTTCTCTCCTTGATTAGTTTCCACCCATTGCTTCTTGTCCCGCCCTCAGGAGCTTTGGAGAATAGCTTGACCCCCCCTCTTCTTTGTAGCAGCCCCATAGATATCAGAACACTGCTATCATGTCACCCCTAGTCCTTCTCTTCATCAAACTAGACATACCCAATTATTGCAATTGTTCTTCATTTCATACGTTTTAGCCCGTCTTGATGTGTTTTACCCCATCTGCATATCTTTTGCTTTTTTTTCCTTTGGCCCAATCTGCCCAAAGGCTAGTTCAAGATAAATCGACCACTGCAGTGGTTCTCAATTTTTTTCTTCATCACGGCCCCCTTTAAAATACCTTTTATGACCACAGACCGTGGCCACGGACCACCAAGACTTAACTCAAAATTTAAAGCATTAGACAGCATGAAGCCTTCACTTGATGCAATATTGATGCAATATCATCACCCCCTGTGATGATATTTCTCCGCGCCCCCCACCCACCCCAGGGTCCCCGGACAACAGATTGAGAACCACTCGACTATTGTATAACTTTTATTCTCCTTGTTCACATACTTAGTCGATTGCAGGTGTAAGGTGAACCTGAAGCAACTGCATGGAGCAATAACAGGAGCCTAGTAATAAAAATAAAGTAGGAAGCTCCTTGCAGAGACATACGAAGCCTTGTGATGGAAGTTAAGTACCAAGAGGCTAAATCCACACCACCTCTTGTCCATCATTTATGAATTTCAAAACAAATTGTTGGATAAACAAAACAGGATTTCTCAATGAAGAGAGAAGTACAATCAGTGATGTACATGGACTTTTGCACACGAAGTCTTTATAGACAATGCTAATCATAATAATAATAATGGCAAGATTTTCTGTTCTGCTTTCACTAGGTAGACCCCCAGGTGCTCGCTGTCTCCCTTTGTGCATCATTTTTGTGCATGCTTAATCTGCTATGTGGTTTGAAAACTCCTCAAGGAAAGGGGGGGTGGGAAACCCCCCCCCCCTTCTGATTGCAGAGAGAGCCAAGTACAAAGCAGTGAAGGCCGCCGCATTCAGGCTGCAGTTGTGCAGTTCAGAAAGATCGGCGAGAGAAAGAATCTCACCAGTGAGGTAGTGCTGAGTCTGCAAATGCTGCCTGAGCGTTGTAAGAATTATAGCGTAG